GAAACCTTGTCATAGGAAAGATACTGGGAAATTGGATGATAAGTACTACTCAAATAACTCAAACGATTTGAAGGATGTCTATCTCGACGTGGGTTATAATGACGAGGTGGAGGAGAAGCTAAAGTAGAAGAGTTACCTGACTTAGAGGTCGGAAGAAGGAAGGGGGACAAAGTACGTAGGTAACGGGAGTATACTTGCAATGAAGGAGGAGACAAAAGGTTGAGAAGGAGGAAGGGGGATAGCTTCATTCTCAACTTCGTCCAAAATGGTCACCAGGGTAACAGTGGAAGTAATAAGAGGAGAAGCCTGTAAAGAAGGGTTAGTACCAAAGAAAGAAAGATCCTCACAAAATGTAACATCCAAAGTGTGGTGAAAGTGACGAGACACATGGTCATAACACCTATACCCTTTGGGTATGGAAGAATACCCTAAGAAGATACAACGAATAGATTTGTCATCTAACTTTGTGCGAGTAGGACTCTAATTTTGAAAAAAACAAGTACACCCAAAGATACGAGGTGAGAGTGGAAACATAGTGGTGGTGGGCATAAGGGTATGAAACAGAGTGAGTCCATGCAACACACGACTAAGGGTCCTATAAATGAGGTAAACAGCAATAAGGACAACCATATGCCAATAAGACTTGGGAACACCCATATCTCGAAGAAGACACCATACAACAGACATAATATGACGATTTTTGCGTTTATCAACACCATTTTGTTCAGGGGTCTGAGGACATGTAAGTTGTTGAATACCGGTTTGTTTAAAATGGGAACGAAATGGATTAGAAATATATTCCCCACCATTATGAGAACAGATAGTCCTAACAACTGCATGAAAATGAGTTTTAACCGTCTATAAAAATTAGACAAAAATGGGAAAGACGTCAGACTTACGACGAATTAGATAAACCCAAGTGCACCTAGTGTAATCATCAATAAAAGTCACATAATATCTTTGACCAGAAAAAAGCAGTGACAAGGGAAAGGTCCTAGACATCAGAATGTATAAAATAAGAAGCACTCAGAGCACAAGTCATAAGGGGGATATAGCTAGCACGAGTATACTTAGACAACTCACAAACCACACAATGAGTGCCTGTACCACAAGGGTGAGAGGAACATTGCCTCAACTCAAGATGAAGTCTGAAGCAATGAGCCTTAACATGACCAAAAAAAAAAAAAACCTAGTTGGAACAGGCTTAATGGATATATTAGCAAAGGATGGATCAATCATGGTGGAAGAAGAGGGGCTAAGAAACACACAAAGATAGTAACACAGTCCAAGAAAAAATAAGAAGCCAGAAAAAAAAACTCAATGGCTTATCTAAATAGATGTTATTGAATAAACCCCGTAGCCCAAAAGAATAAAAGGACAGACAAAGGGGCTTAATATATCAATCCAATCACCCCAAGAAAGGGAGAAAAAAAAAAAGCCACAGACCACCTAAAAAGACAGTCAAAGTACGTAAGACCAGAACAAAGTCTAGTTGGTAGCAACTAGAGCCTCGGTAAGGATATAGAAGGCCTACTGAGGTGAAGATAAGGAAGGAGAGGGGCTGCAAAGGCTGGGTTGAGACTAGGCTAAGGCTGTTGGAGGGAGAAAAGGAGTTGGAAAGGGTTGTCAGAGGCTAGAGAGGAGAAAAAAGGTAGTCGGTGGTGATGGGTGATTGAGAGAGATGACTAGGGAGGCTCTGATACCAAAAAGAATTAAACAAATTATTTGCCTAACCAATCAATGAGGTAGAGGCCATGTATATATAATATATTCAAGATACAATTTAAGAAATAATATACACAAGGTAAGATTTCTATAATTAAAATAATTCCTATTCTAATTTCCATATTTAAACATAATATTTTGATTTTTATATTCAACAACGAATGTTAATGTTAAAAAAAACCTAACATTATTTAAATAATAATAATAATATTCTGTGTGCATAAAAAAATTGACAAATAAATTTCAAGAAATTAATTAATATAGTTAGATCAGACTGTGAAGATGTTATCATACCTGGCTATGATGGAGAAGACAAAAGTGGCAACAGGAATGAGGTTCAGAAAGTTTGTAGCGTATGTCGCTGTAGTGTCTCTTAACCCATAGTAAAATAACCCCATAGCCATTTGTATCCTGCATCATGTACATTAACACATACAAAAAATGAAGAGCTAATGCTTTGTTTATTTCAGCAAAAAATATTTATTTATAGGAAACACGTTTTCATATTTTTAGCAATAACCTTAAAACCAAGATACTGATATTAGTATTAGTGGTGATATTTGATGAAAGGGTTAATCAAGAACTAGAGAGAGAGAGGAGAGAGATATTAGAGAGAAATTCTCAATTCAATTCAATATATCCAAGTCAGTTACAAATGATGTGATACTCATCTATTTATATGATACACTATCTAACACTTGTTATGCACACGACACTACATCATACTCCCTCTCTTAAGAAAAGACATGTCCTCAAGTGAAGACAACAAAATAAAACCAATACTAGACATGAAAGACACAAAAAACCAAAGTACAAGATGACAACTTTTCAAGGAACTAGTCTACAAAGATAGAGGCATCATGAATGGAAGAGGCATCCGGAAAGTAGGGTACAAGGTGTTGGACGTTAAAGGTGTTAGAGAAGCCTAAATGAGGCGGTATATTGACTTTATAAGCATTGTCGTTGATCTTGCTCAACACCTCACAAGGTCCCACATTCTTGTCACTCAACTTAGTGTAGGTTCCATGGGGATATCTCTCTTTGCTCAATACCGCCCACACAAGATTCCCTACTTCAAACACTCTTCGTCTATGCACATCATCGGCCACCTTATACCTCATATTAGACCTTTCAATTTGGGCCCTCACTTGAGAATGAATGCTTTTCATAAATGTGGCCATTTCCTCCGCCTTAACGCTTCCTCTCCGTGAGACTGGCAAAGGCACCAAATCAACCACACTTGAAGGCCTTGTCCCATAAACTACTTCAAATAGAAAAGTATTTATGGTGTGGTTGATAGATGAATTGTAAGCAAATTCAGCCAAAGGAAGGATGTCATCCTAACTCTTGGGGTGATCCTCCACAAGGCACCGTAACAAGTTGCCAAGGCTACAGTTCACGACCTCCATTTGACCGTCGGTTTGCGGTTGGAATGTAGTACTAAAATTTAAGTCCGTGCCAATTTTCCTCCACAAAGTTCTCCAAAAGTGAGCAAGGAACTTAGCATCTCTATCGGACACAATAGAAGTAGGCACCCCATACAACTTGTAGACTTCCTTGAAGAAAAGATTAGCAATGTTTATAGCATCGATGGTCTTCTTGCAAGGTATGAAATGTACCATCTTGGAGAAACGATCCGGCACTACCATGATAGAATCACTCCGCCTTTGAGTAGGAGGGAGGCCCAACACAAAGTTCATACTAATGCACTGCTAAGGAGCATCCAGCATCAGTAAAGGTAGATATAGCCCCGCATTAATGGCAGTCCCCTTGTTTCTTTGACAAATTTGACAACACTTCACATGACTTTGCACATCCTTGGTCATGCCCGGCCAATAATAAACATCTTGAAGCAACCCAAGGGTCTTGTCCTTATCAAAATGCTCCATCTTATGATGCTCAACCAACAAATGTGCCCTCAAGAAACAACTAGGAACACACAGCTTAATGCCATGGAAGAGGAATCCATTCCTTATCATGTAACTTGGATAAGCCATCCTATCCCCTCTTTGCAAAGCATCAAAGATCTTGGAAAAGTAAGGATCACTTGCATAGAATGTGTGAATTTCATCAAAACCCACAACTTCATTTTTCATTTCAATCAAGAGAGTCATTCGCCTACTCAACCCATCAGTCACCTTATTAAGAACCGCCGATTTATGGCACAAAGAGAATGTGACTTGTTGCAAGTAGGCCATCCATTTGGCATGGCGCTTGTTAAGATGGGATTGACTATTGATGTACTTGAGAGCTTCATGATCAGTGTTGAGCACAAACTCTTTGTATGCAAGATAGTAGCTCCAATGCTTGATGGCTTGGATAATGGCATAAAATTCCAAGTCATAAGTGGAATACTTGAGCTCAGCCCCATTTAACTTTTCACTAAAGAATGCAATGAGCCATCCTTCTTGGCTAAGAATGCCTCCAATACCCAATCCCAATGCATCACAATCAAGTTCAAAGGTCATGTCAAAATCCGGTAATGCCAAAATTGGAGCCTCGGTAAACAGCTTCTTCAAAAGATGGAAGCTATCGGCGGTTTCCTTGCTCCACTCAAAAGCTTTAAGCTTGAGAATGTTGGTCAGAGGGGCAGCGATGGTACTAAAGTTGCGGATAAATTGCTTATAGAAAGTGGCCAAACCATGAAAACTCCGTACTTCTTGGATACTAGAAGGAATGGTCCATTCCACAATTTCTTTGACCTTCTCCACATCCATAAGCACCCCACGAGAAGACACGACATATCCCAAGAAGATGACTTGGTCCACGGCAAAGGTGCACTTCTTAGTGTTGCCAAAGAACTTGTCTTGCCTCAAAAGCTCAAAGACTTGCTGAAGCTGGCACGAATGCTCTTCCAAACTTCGGCTATAGATTAAGATATCATCAAAGTAGACCACGACACACACTTCCAAAAGTGGTTGCAACATATGTGTCATCATTCTCATAAAAGTACTCGGAGCATTGGTAAGCCCAAATGGCATTACAAGCCACTCAAATAGGCCATGAGGCGTTTTAAAGGTCGTTTTCCACTCATCATCGGGCTTGATGCGGATTTGATGATAGCCACTTCTAAGATCAATCTTAGAAAACACCTTTGATCAGGCAAGGCAATCCAACATATCATCCAATCTTGGAATTGAAAAGCGGTACTTGGTTATTGATTGCACAGCTATCCATACACATACGCCAAGAGCCATCTTTCTTAGGTGTCAAAAGTACTAGAACACCACAAGGGCTAAGGCTAGGCCAGATATACCCTTTAGCCAAAAGTACTTTTACTTGCCGTTGCAACTCCTCTTTTCCTTTGGAGACATACGATAGGCCAGTTTGTTTGGAAGCACAGACCCGGGTACCAAATCAATACAATGTTGAATGTCCTGTATAGGAGGCAAATCGGGAGGAAGTTCTTGGGGAGAGGCATCGGAATACTCTTCTAAAAGAGTAGCCACCTCAACCTTTTGTGTAGAAGCACCCGTGTGTACAACCAGAACCAACACCAATACAATCCCAAAATCCCGACTCTTTTCCATAAACTCCTTGGAAGCAAGCAACGTAGTGGCACTAGTAGATGATTTGGAAACATCCTTGGAAGTAACCTTTTCCTTCATGGAAAGCAAGGTAAACCGGATATCATTCTTGACAACGGTGTAGGTGTTCCATTTGCTATCATGCAAAGATTGCCGATCATATTGCCAAGGTCACCCAAGTAGAATGTGACAAGAATCCATAGTCACTATATCACACCATGCCTCATCAAAGTAATTTTGCCAGATAGAAAATGAAACCAAGCACCGTTTGGTAACCTTGATCTCATTGCCTTTCTTGAACCAAGATAGAGAATAAGGATGGGGATGTTCCTCCACCGGAAGATTAAGTTTGTCCACCATTTCTTGAGAAACTACATTCTTACAACTTCCACTATCAATGATCATATTACAAACACGGCCACTAATGTTACAAGTGGAATAAAAGATATTGGTACGCAACCAATCTTCTTAGCTCTCTAGTTTTGGTGAGAGAAGAGTCTTCTTCAAAATAAGAGTAAGACCCTCTTCTTCATCACTATCTCCACCAATTGTCACATTACCCGAAAGATCAAAGATTGGAGCATCTTTAAAGTCACCATGCTCCTCAACTTCTTCAATGAGAAGTGCCTTGTTCCAGTTATTACCCATGTTATTGCGGCAACCAAAAATCTATGCCCTGGTTCACCACACCGAAAGCATTTGAATGTCCCACCTTGTGGTGTATGTTGGTTTTCGGAAGCACCATTAAAGCGAGGAGCTTGAGAGGAGGAAGCACTCTTATCCACAAACTTGGAATAAGGATTAACTTTGGCAAAGCTAGGAATGGAAGGACCAGGTCTAAAACCACCTCGGAACCCTCCTTGGGAATATTGTCCTATTTGGGAAGCACGACGACTTTGTTGCTTCTCCACGGCGAAGGCCCGATTAGAAGCTTCGGAAACACTATATAATGTGTGCAAGGCAAGAACATCTTGGATGGAAGATTTCAAGCCGCTCACATAGCGGGCCACCCGTTGCTCCTCACTTTCACTTTCACTTTCACTTAAGTCAACCTGTGCAATGAGTTGATACGAGGCTTTCATGTAGTCATTCACACTAGCATCTTGCTTGAGAACGTGAAGGCGTTGATAAACACTTTAGAGGTAGTTGAATGGTAGAAAATGGCCCATTAACTTCTTTTTCATTTTCTCCCAATCATGGATTTTTTCATTTCCACATCGGTGACGGTTGAGTTGAAGTTGTTCCCACCAAGCGGAAGCTCTCCCCTGCATCCGAATAGCCACAAGTTTAACTTTCTTTTCAACGGAGACCTCTCCATAGTCAAAGATCCGCTCAATGGTGTTGAGCCAATCGATGAACTCATTGGGATTGAGGCTTCCCTGAAATTTGGGAAGTTCAATCTTGATATTGTTCTCCCATTTGTGTTCCATCCTACCCACATCCGTTCGACGCCATCGTAGGGCCCAAAAGATATTACCAAAAGAATGATGAGTACCACCTTCGGTTTCATCTGAACTATCACTACCCTCGGTACGAGGTAGGAGACGTTGCACCGTCTCGGTTAACGCGGCAATTCGCTGTCTCATCTCGACCATCTCATTTCTTGGATACGGAATCCCATTACCCCTAACATGATCACCCAAATCCGGGACATAAGCCCTACCACAGCCACCCCAACGACCTCAACCTCGATTAGCCATAACAACAACCCAATATGTTCCCAAAATAGTCCAGATATACAAATTTTGGATAGCTCAATGCCAAACCCAATTCACATATTAGTATAACTCAGTGTAACTATCAACTCACAGCAATGTGAAGTCTCAAATATTCAAGAATCAACAAGACTATAATATCAAGAATTGATTCAAACAGTAACCCAATCTGTATACGGAATTTGAATAGCCCAAGAATTGAAACAAAAATTGAAAATACCTGTGTAGAACCAGAGTACAGAATTACAGATTAAGAATTGAAAAGCATCCCAGTTGCAAGCCACAATGAGCCTTGAATCCAAGAAGTCGCACTGTGGCACTAGATTGAATCACGAAATCGACTGTATCGATGTCAAATTGAAATCGATCTGCCCACCAAGGTTCTTGAGACGACTCCCAGCGAAGAACCCAGGCGAAGATTCAATTAGTGAACTTGAATCGAAAGTTCCAGCGCTGGATCGACAGTGAATCAGCGAAGCCAAATTCATAGTCGAACCCACAACTCAAATCACAATGGTGAATTGTGATGATGGATTGAAATCTGGACTGGATATCGATTTCAGATTTTGAATGAACTCAGGCTCTACGACCGAGAGCCAACTCCAATTACAATTCCATTTGAAGCAAAAATGAACCAGTTTCAAAATCGCCAATCAAATTAGGGCTTCAATTTGATCTATAATGATGATCCCACCAAATTGAGGTTTCGAAGATCAGGCTAGTTTTGAGGTAATGGTCTGTGATAATCAGTAGGTTAGGATCTAAATCTTGATGCTCTGATACCAAAATGATGAAAGGGTTAATCAAGAACTAGAGAGAGAGGAACTTAGAGAGAGATCTAAGAGAGAAATTCTCAATTCAATTCAATATATCCAAGTTAGTTACAAATGATGTGATACTCATCTATTTATAGGATACACTGTTTAACACATGCTATGCACATGACACTACATCAATATTAACTTGTGAGATAAACTTAAAGCTTGCCAAGGTATAATTGCCCACATACTATACTACCAATCATAGAGGCAGAGATTTCGACTATCCACTGTGGCCTTACTATAATTCTTGAGAAAAGCTGGATGGATATGGAAATTGAACTGGACTGCACCGAGGCAATCTAGCTAATTCAAAATGAAGTTCAACAGAACTGCTATTTCAAAGCACTCATTGAAGATGCCAAATTTCTACTTGGACAAACAAATTGTGTTCTTAAGCATATCCATCGCGAGACTAACAGATGAGAGGATGCCTTAGCAAAAACCCATCTGAAGCACTTAGGCCCCTCCTGGTAGCAGATATGGTGGGAACTGTGTATGAGAGGATATAGTCTCTCTTGATTGTTTATTTCTTTGTTGTAAAACTCTGTTTATTTCAATTCCAAAGCAACAATATATATACGCGGACAAATATATATATACATGACTAGCTATATAATTTTTATGCATAAATTACAAAATGAGAGGTTCAATCCATGTTAACTTGCGAGATAAACAAATTAAGTTTGATTTTCTTTGAAACTTGTATTTATTGAGTATATCTTGTACTCAATTCGATAAGTTAGCCTTCAATGGGTTGAAACGTAAACTTTTAGTCAAAACAAGGAAGACAAATGTTATGTATTAGCTTCAAAAAGGCATACAATATACTCGATTATTTGAGAAAAAGGCCAAATCCGTCTCCATCCCCTATTTCAAACCACCTCTCTGTCTCTCTTGCCTCCCAGAAAATGATGCTGAGCAGAATAGTTCAACTTGTGACCCACTGTGATGGAACCTTTCCAAGAATATGGACCTTCCAAACTATTGGTTTGTAAAGAGATGTAATTGTATCAAATGTTAAAGAATTTTAACACACCCACATCCAAAATGTACTAGGTCACACCAAATTGTTCTGGCTCTTTCAGTAGCCAATCATGTTATGGAATAGATACGTATAATGTCACTGGACCACAAGGGTTTCGATTGTTACTGCTCTCAAAAATTAGTTGAATTTTACATATACGTGTGCATAAATGGAGCCACAAACATTCGAGTGAAGTCTCTTCCATTCGAAATTTCAAACATTTTACTCTTAGCTGAAATGAAAGTCCTCCAAATTTTCTAAGTTCATTTTCAAAAAATAAAACATTAACCAACCAAATCTTTATTGAAACTAAAGAAATTGTTCAAACTTCTTGTACCAATTTAAATGTAATACAAAAGTTTAATGAAACACAAATCATATTTAGAAGAAAATTTAGAACAATTTTTATTTTTTTAGTAATTTGTTAAAACTTTAAGTATATAGTATAATTTTGTCAATTTGTTATGAATGTCTTATCGTGACATATGGTCCTCATCTGCTGAATTCTATATAAGCCAAAAAAAAAAAAAGTTGTGGAAAATAGAAAAAAAATTATTTGATAATTTAAAAGAAAAAAAATTAAAAGAACTCATTATTTTCATATCGTTGTATCTTTTCCATAACCAAGGTTTTGGATTGGAGGGTACTGTTCGAACCCGTGGGATCCATCACGGGTCTTATTTTGATAATTCGAACCGTTCATTTTGTCGAGCACTTTGTATATTTCATCCATGCAAAAAATTAGGTCTATCCATAACTATAACTTGTTCAATTTATTGCGTTTGTCATAAAAAAAAAAATATGATTTATTTTTAAAAATATAATTGTCGTTTATTTTTTTTTCTTTTTTGTGTGAAAAACACGATAAATTAAATATGTTACGATTGTCAGATGACCTAATTTTTTGTATGAATAAAATACACAGAGCACTTAACAATATGAATGGTTTAGATCATCAAAACAAGGCTCGTGGTGGGCTCCACGGGCCCAAACAAGGTCCTCCAGTCTAGATTTTGAGCTAGAGTGGATCTACCTCCATTTTTTAAAATTCAAAAATATTTTGATGTTTATTTTTAATAAACTAGATTATATTTTTTCACAAAAAAAGAAAAAGAAAAAGAAAACAAACAGATGAACATTTATTAAAATACATTTTTGGGGAAATTAAAAAAAGTATCCAAAATTTGACCCTGGTAATAAAATAAATCATGAATTTTTAAATTTTTTTAATTTAAACCTTAATCATTTGATTTATTTTCAATTTAAACCATTCGATTTTTTTTATTAATGGTATTTTAATTATTAAGCTTAATAAAGTGTACATAAAATATCTAAAATATAATTTTTTGTTAACTTTAAAAATAAATCAAAATATTAAAGTTTAAATTAACAAAATTCAAAATTCAATTTTTTTTTTTTGAGGCACTTTTTCATAAATCTCTTTTCACTTACTTATGTTCCATTTAATCCATATTATTTTCTTATATTCTAATAATCCTTATGAGTGACATAGTTACCAAAATACCCCTAATAATATTCATATTTGCAGTATGAATGTTCCGTGATGTGAATGTTCACACTATCAATATGAATGTTCACACCATCAATGTGAATGTTAACATGTCATGTGAATGTTCACACTATCAATGTGAATATTCACACATCAATGCGAATATTCACATTGTAAAATATGAATGTTCACGTCACTAAATTGTTAATTGTTCAAAAAATATTTGTAAAGGTAAAAAGGTCCATAAAATACTTTAAATACGAGAATTACGATTTGGTAGATCAAATGTGCAAATAATAAGATTTATTGGAATACAAAAATATCTTATGGATTAA